AAAAAAAGAAAACCTTCAAAGGTCATCCACGCTCATGCATGCGATCACACCTCCAAAGGTGCTGTTATCTCTTTTTTATATATATATTTGAAATCATTGTGCGCTCCACTTTGTGAAAACCAGGAAACAAAATTATTGTAATCAATGATATTATTATTTATAGACCAAGACATACTGTTAGCAATCAGATAAAGCTGGCATCGACCCTCTGTATTGTTCGCTATTCCTTACACATAAAGTTAGTTATGGCACACGCCTAGAATCATGCAATCATAATATCTTAAATTCAGTTTTAAAATATATTTTTAAAAAAAAATCCATTTCTAATAATTAAATATTTTGGCATCTTGAAAGATTATCTTTATAATTTGGTATGTTTGATAATTTTATGTTACTTGGAGAAGTTTTCTTATTTTACACATCTTTCTGATTTTTAAACTAGATTATAACATAAAACTCTTAAAGAATCTGTATCACACACAGAATTTTTTTTTTTTTTCTCCCTGTCATTATCCGTCAGCCCGTCAGTTGATCACAATCTCTCTCTCTCTTCTCTCTCTCTGTCTGTCTCTCCGTCTGTCTGTCTGTCTCTTTCTCTCTCACTCTCTTTTTCTTTCTCTCTCTCTCTCTTTTATTTAATTTTCCCCATTCTCCTTCGTCCCTTCCCAAGGCCCGCCCCTCCTCTTTCATCCCTGCCCCATCCCCTCTTCCTTGCGTGCATTCCCCCACCCCGCCCACCCCACAACGTGGCCCAGCCCGATAAGATTCTATAAAAAGAAACGCCACAGTTCGAGATTTAGCCCACACTCGGCGGCCATATTTGATCCCCACCACGGCGTACTGATGGTGGCGCCGCGAAGAGAGAGAGGAGGCTCCATTAGTTCTAAACTCCTTGCAGATACCGAACTTCAAGTGTAATGCGATCGAGAAGAAGAAGAAGAAGAAGTTATCAGCACTCGCCACCTCTCTTCTAAGGGAATGCAGCAAGAGCCGTAAAACTCTTATTTTAAAGACCACAGAGGGTGTTCTTTGAAATTCACCATATGGGCCCACCTAATTGATCATATTGTCTGAGTTGTTCCATAATTGCTTAAGTCAGTCCCTGGAGGTTTCCAGATAAACATGTTATTCGAATATAGATATCAGAGGGCATCTACTTATTATATTTTTTTTTCTATTTTGTTATTTTCTTCCTAGTTTTTTTAATTGAAAAATAGCAAGTGCTTAAGTCATGGCTCTGATTTCAGTGCTCTCTTTTTCTTTAAGTCTCTCTAAACTTAAAAATGACTAAAGCGCTTGGGGAATGGAGATGACAAAAAATGACTAAACAGTGAAGTTCAAACAGGAGATTTTTTTTTAATGTGCATTTCATAGGATGTGAAACCAAAAAATAACTTTAACCTATTAAGTTTACTTTAAGAAGAATACTCTTTTTTCTTCTTATCATGGTGTGAAAACATTCACTTCCAGCATCATAACAGGATTACTCTTTTCATCTACGCTGCTACTCCAAAACTACTATATCAAAAGAGTAGTTGAGGCAGTCAATCAATCATGGACACAGAAACACACATACGTGCGCGCAACCGCACACACACAAACCGCACACGCACATGCCCACGCACGCATACACTCACACGAACGCACACACGTACGGACACACGCACACATACACATACAAACACAGACAGCAGTTCAGGACTTACTTATGAATGCTGATATAAGCGGTGGTGCTGCAACAGCCAGTAGCCAGGGCTTCAAAGATGACCGAGGCATCCAGGCGACTGAGTCCCGTACCACCAAATGCCTCATCACAGTACACCGCCCCAAACCCCAGAGAAGCTGCCTTCCGCATGGTCTCAACGGGGAAGATTTCCTATAGACGATCACAAACTACCATTATTATGTTGTTGGTATGTCCCTGTTACATTGTTATTACACTGCCATTGCATTGACGCAATGTTGGTATGTTGAGGGATTTCTTCCTATAGACAATAAGAGACTGCCATAACTATATCTCTGGTATATTAGTGGGTTTGTTTATGTTATGTTGTTAGTGCTTAAAAAGGATTATTTGGCGATTTCCAGCAGTAAGTAAAACTTTGTTGCTTATTTTAACCTCCCCCCACCCCCACCCACCCACCAACCCCCCAATCAGTATGTTACTGCCAAGTAAACATTAAAATACCATAATTCTGTTAATATGAAAATTGCCACATTGTTGTTTTATTAGTGTCAAAAGAGATCTGTTCAAATGGTAATAGCTCACAACACAGGGCGACAAATACAGTTGAACCTGCTCCAACGGCCACCTGTATTACACAATCACCCGTACGCACCGCCACTTCCCATTTCCTCCCTTGCATATTTTTTATACTGTAATGACACTGTGTAAGATGGCCACCTAAGATGATCACTTTTCTCCTCTATAATGGGCGGCCGTCTAAGACAATTTCAACGGTTCGTAAGTTTAATCAACATTTACCTCTTCATCCCACTTCTGCATGTTTGGTGCCATTTCATTTTTAGCAAAATCCAGTGCCATTTGCTGAATCTGCACTTGTTCTTCGTTCAAACCATGGGACACTGAAATCAGAAAATAACCATTGACCTCTCAGAAAAACTCTTGCTGCTTTTCCTGATTCATTAATAATAATTGCACGGTCTTACACCCCAGTAGACACAATTTAGGAGGCGAATTGCTTCGACCCTATCTAAAAAGGCCAACTTTGAGCGAGTCGGAAGTACGAAGACTGATTTATTTTTTTTTATGTGTGTTTTTACTGATACAGTTTAGATCATTTGGGGGGTGGGCTCTGACCCTGCCTGTCAGGACCAACCCGGGCTGAGAGGGAAACAACATCACATTGGAAAGACCCAGAGACTCCATAAAAATTTTCTCCCAGCTTGGTAACTGTACTGAAGTCTTGTGCATGCAACAGCATAGGGGCTAACCACTACACCACAGACGTCAGTACAGAGATATTGGATCAAATAGACTTTCTCCTCTGGGATTGTTTTAGTTTTAATTTAGTAAAATTTTACTGCGCTCGCAACTGCATAAGGTCATATGAGCGCCAAGGGGTGGATGTCAACAGAGAAGTCCAAAGGGGGAATCAGGCGTACTCTGCTCACCTCTCTAGCCTCAACAGCACAAAGTCTGCTTCGATTATCAAGGCACCCTGGAAATAGCAGTTCACAAGAGAGTGACAAACATACAAAAGAAGTGGAAGAAAATGACAATAGCAAGGGTGAGGAAAGAAAAAGCAGCAGTTTCCCCTATGCTGTTTCAGCAAAGTATGATGAGCATGACATTGATAAATCAGCCCATATGCAATCCTACTGTGCATGAGAACATGTTAATATCCCCTTTTTGGGAATGGCGGCCTAAAGACAACTTCAGTCAGCAGCACTGATCTGCAGTTGAGCTTGTTTATCACTCAACACTCAGCCTTCCATAGGAATGTCTTTAGCTGCTTGACACACAGACCACTGAACCAGACTCTACATTTCTTAAACATCTCCAATGCACAATGTGCTCAGTGGGTGCATCCTCCAGTAAGTTCCAATGACAACAATCTGCCTACATATATCCACAAACTTGTCTTATGCAGGTTATGTCTCAGGTCCATAACTTAGGTGACTATATTATCATTGATACCAGTGATAAGTTCCTCACACTAGACATCAAGGGGTGCTCAAAGAAAGTCTCAATCATTCCACCCAAAGCTGCTTTCATGACACTGCTCACATCATCAGTTAACAAGAGGCTGGATTCCCTTGTTAAAGTGTCACCATAAACCTTCGCAAAATCAAAGACAGTAGGCCCTACTATTATTATCTCTACCTGTGAAAAATTTGAACACTTTGGCCCACTCTGGTCACATTCAGTTACCAGCAAGATTTCCCAACTCTGTCATTTTAATTCAATTTCTAACTTTCTACTTAGTACAGAACATCATAGTACTACACTGGGAAGGAAGGAATGTAATGACTTAGTGGCATGACACAGTACACCTGTGCTCACTAATAGTATAACAGCAATAACTAACAGGACTACCTTAAGCCCATGAGTCTTGCGTATATAAAGGTGTGTGTGAGAACAAATTAAAAACAGTCTTGCATTAGTTAACAAACTGACATCTTGTCAAGTTTCTACAGTGAACTATCAAGGTAAGGGGACAAGAACAAAGCCTAGGAAATCCCATTGTTCTTTTTCAGCAGCACATCCATTCAGTGCAGAAAAGGAAACATAACAACATTGATGATTAACCTGACCTGACCATCAATGATTTATTTATAGAGGCACCAGCCATCCATGTCCAGATGTTGTTTTAGCCTCTTTTTCCTGTATGCGGATTAATAATATCTTTTTGCAAATTTATTGGTTCCGTTTCTATGTACCCCATATCTATGGT